TATTCTATTCTATTCTATTCTATTCTATTCTATTCTATTCTATTCTATTCTATTCTATTCTATTCTATTCTATTCTATTCTATTCTATTCTATTATTTTCTATTCCATTCCATTCCATATTTTCTATTCTATTCTATTCTATTCTATTCTATTCTATTCTATTCTATTCTATTCTATTCTATTCTATTCTATTCTATTCTATTCTATTCTATTCTATTCTCTATTCTATCCTATACTTCCTTCCTTCCTTCCTTTCTTCTCTATTGCTTGCTTGCTTGCTTGCTTCCTTCCTTCCTTTCTTCCCCCCTCCCCCAAAAGGGACCATTTCAGAATATATTCTTGTTTTTTTCGCATATTTCTGGCCTACTAAAACACAAAATAGACAACTCCGTGATTCCCATCCTTTGCTGTGGCCGTTCGCAATAAACACACCGAAGCCGTTCCTTCGAGTCTCTCTTTATTATTGAAAACTCTTGAGGTACAATTGACTGAACTAAACCGAACGTCGATTTAAAAAGAAAAAAAGAAAAAAAAACAAAAACCCAGAAACCCCCAAACAGCTTTAAAATGTTCTCGGGATATGAAAACCTACAAGCTCCGTACACCGAGCGACGCGGAGTAGCAAAGGCGGTGAACTCCTCGTGGTCTTTGGTGCCTAGAATTGCACACGCATTCCAGACGCAGCAGGCACGCAAAACTCACACCACAGAGACGACACGCACGCACACACACACACACACACACACATAAACACACACCCAAGCCAGTGGTGGGATTCTACTGGTTCAGACCGGTTCAGGCGAACCGGTAGCTCCGATGATCAGCTGGGAGCAAACCGGTTTTGCCCCGACGTTCAGCTAGGCCCACCCGCCTGTCCATGATATTTTCCTACTTTTATCTCCTCAGCTGATTCGTGCGGCAAAGCTGATTGCCCCGCGAATCAGCTGTGTTACTCCTCTGAGGAAACCCAGAAGTTCAAACTGTGCCGACGCGTGATCATCGAACCAATTCTTAAGCCGGGAGGATCCCACCACGGACCCAAGCTCAGAAGGCGCCAACCCACAAAGGCCTTCCCCTCAGTGCGTTCTTTATTTTCGGCGCTCCCTTGTCCCACATTGGATAAAGAGGCTTGTTTGGTCCCACGGGGGTCCCCCTGACCGAAAGACACCCCACTGATATGAAGCACGTTGGGGAGAGTCGGTGGGTCCTTGTAAGCGAACCCGAAAGAAACGTTTTCAACCTCCTGTTCGTACAGATGGACGTTATCCTTGCCAAGGTGCCAACCGTCCCTGGAGCACTCCGAATATGGACACCAAAGATGCTTTTTTTCAAGAGGCAACTGGACTTTCTGGTTTTTTTCTCTGAAGATGTTCAGCTTCTTCAGCTCTGACTGGATGGCGGGAAATAGAAGGATTGATGCGCCTTGCAGACAGCTGGTCATTTGCATCCTTTTTAGAGGGTCGTTGAGGCCACTTGGAGATTTATCTGTGTCCTTAAAGTCACGTGAGGGGTGCAAATAGGGTGGGGAGCCTTCTTGGAACTGCTGAAAGGATTGTGTTGTAGACAGGAGGTAGATGATGTCCTATCCCTCTGTTGAGGGAGGGTTGTTCAATTTGGAGCTACATGGCCTCTTTGAACCCTCTTTCAAACCAGCAGTCCTCTCTGTCCAAAATGTGGACTTTGCTGTCTTCAAAAGAGCGGCCTTTGTCTTTGAAATGTAGATGGGCTGCTGAATCTTATCTGATGGTTTGTTCTGTTGTGTTGTGCCACGCGGTTGTGAAGTGGCTGTTTTGTTTCCCCAATGTACATCATCTATCTCCAGTCTACAACAGTCCCTTCAGCAGTTCCAAGAAGGCTCCCCACTCTATTTGCACCACTCAGGTGACCCCGAGGACGCAGATAAACCTCCAAGTGGCCTCAACGACTCTCTAAAAAGGATGCAAATGACCAGCTGTCTACAAGGAAGATCAATCCTTCCATTCCTCTCCATCCGGTCAGAGCTGAAGAAGCTTCTCGGATGAGAAGCGAAACATCTTCAAGGAAAAACCAAGGAAATCCAATTGCCTCTTGAGGAAAAAAAGCTCCTTTGGGACAACCACGACCTGGATGGCTGAGAATCTCCCTTAGACAACAAGGACACCGCTACAACCGATTGAATCTTAAGCCCGCCAAGACAAAAAGGGAGCACCTCTTTCTCCACCCCACCCCACCCCAATGACGTATCTACGGGGAACAGCAGCTACAGATGGCTCTACCCGATCGAGTGTAAACAAGGACTTCTGGAATGTTTTCAGGCTACACGATTAAACTGGGCTCTCCTTCCAGAGGAGACTAAAGGCGAAGAGTAAAAGAGTCAGGAAGGCGATTCAGGACGGGCTCGCCACCGTGCACATCCCAAAGATGTCTGCCAGGCGAGACCAAGCTGGCAGTGACCTACCCAGCAGGGATGGCATCCCTGAGCAGCGAGACAAAAGCACGGCAACGTGCCTCGGACACGCAGGAGGGACCTCGCGGTTCTCCAGACGGTTTTCTCCATAGCAAATCTTAGAGGATGACGATGGAATGGGACAACTCGCCGTGACTGTTTCACCCCAGTGGACTCCCACTCACCCACCCCGGCTGAGTCGCCGCAGGACGACTTGAACACGGCAGACTCTCCACGGGACGGTTCCACTCCAGAGAGGGACAAGTAGGGATTGGAGACTCGTTCCATTCTTGAAGGCTTCAAATTTGAGAAGGTTCAAACTTTAAGCAAGACAAGGCCCGCTGCTATTCAGTTTGTCCCTCTCTTGAGTTACCCTGCATTGAATTAAAAGAATAATCAGAGTTGGAAGGGACCTTGGAGGTCTTCTAGTCCAACCCAGGAGACTCTCTATCATTCTGGCTATCCAATCTCTTCTTAAACACCTCCAGTGATGGGAGTATCTGCAACTTCTGGAGGCAATTCACTCCTCTGATTACTTAGTTACAGAATAGAACTGGAAGGGACCTTGAAGGTCTTCTAGTCCAACCCCCTGCTCAAGCAGGAGACCCTATAACACTCCAGACAAGTGGCCATCCAGTCCCTTCTTAAAAACTTCCAGTGATGGAGCACCCACCACTTCTGGTGGCAAGCTGTTCCACTGGTAAATTGTTCTTACTGTTAGGAAGTTTCTCCTAAATTCTAGGTTGCTTCTCTCCTCGAATTAGTTTCCATCTGTTGTCCTGCAGCAAATTTTCCCACGGTGATTTCCCCATTGCGAGTTGTCCCACGGCAATTTGGCCGTGGTGAGTCAGCCAGGGTGAGATAGATGGGGGTGAACTAGCTGTGGCGAATTGTCCTAGACCCCTGATGGTGAACCTATGGCACACGTGCTGGAAGGGGCACACAGAGCCATCTCTCTGGGCACTCCAGCCATCGCCTGTAGCTGTTCCTGGTTCCAGTGCCAGCTGGTTTTCACGCATGTGGGAGTGCCAGAAACCAGAAGAGCAGCTCCCTGGCGCACATGTGCACACCGGGAAGCTGAGCTTCTGGTTTCTGGTGCATGCATGTGGGCCAGACAGCTGGTCTTCACTTGTGCATGCACGCCAGAAACCAGGTGACTGCCACGCATGCACACACTGGAAACCAGAGGCTCAGGTTCCCGGTGCGTGTATGCGCACCAGGGAGCTGCTCTTCTGGTTTCCGGTGTTGCCCCCGCACGTGCGAGCACTCGGTGCCGAAAAGGTTCGCCAACACTGTCCTAGACACAAGATGGAATGATTGCTTTCCTTCCTTTCCTCCGTCTGGAGACCGCGGGCCAACGCCGCTACTTGCCTCCTGTCCTTTCCGGGGCCCCCTTGTAACCGCCCTTCCCGACAGCACCAGATACTACAAGAGAAAAGCATTTTACAGCGGGCGAGGATCAAGATTGGCAGTGGCGCTCGCTACGAGAGGAGGAAAAAAAAAAAAAACAAAGACCAGAGAGAATTCGAGAAAAAAAAAAAAAAGAAGAGTTCCAGATAGCTACTCTACCCTAAAATCGGTAACTTTGACTGGATCGGAAAGCAACATTGGTCACATTAAAGTTTGGCTGTTTGGGCAAGAGCCCACACGGGAACGTACATCACAAACTACGGTTTCCGAGGACGGCTGGATCACGGAAGAGAAGTTCAGGTGTAGGTGGGTTTATCCGAAGGACTCGTTGACCCTGATCACGTTTAGGCACAAAGAGGGAGAATCAGACACTCTGCTACCGGATTATTTCGTGGAACGCTCCCTCGGGATATAAGTGGACAGGAATAAAAACCGGAATATCTCGTACTTCTTCCGTGGCTCGTGGCCCATGAACCAACGTGCAGCCAAAGACCCCACCCAAAAGCCACTGGTCCACCGGCTCAAAGACACTTCGAAAACCGAAGGAAACTTTTCTTGAACTTCCAACGCTCGGGGGTATAATTCAAAGGAACGAGCCTCTCGTCTTGTCTGTGAATCGTTATCCAAGATTAAAAAAAATATATTGTTTTTGGGCTGGATTCCAGAACGTCGTCTTCTGCGGCAGGGTTAATTTAAGAATACACACTGTATTCTTCGGAATACCGTATTTTTCGGACTATAAGACGCACCTAGATTTAGAAGAAAAAAACAAGGGGAAAAAATAATTTTCGCCCTCCCCCGTCCCACTGGTGGGATTCAAATAATTTAACAACCGGTTCTCTGCCCTAATGACTGGCTGGGTGGGCGTGGCCATGGTGGACATAGTCAGGGGGTGCGACAGGCAAGACTCAGCCTCCTGCACCCCCCTGGGAGCCAAAACGGGTGCGCCTCCCGCCCTGCGCCCTGTTTTGGGCCTAGTAGGCTGCTCTGAAGCCTCCTGGGAGCCAAAACAGGGCACATGGGGACTTCTGGAAGGGGCAAAGAGTGGAGGCGAGGGGCCAGCCAGCAATTTAACAATCGGTTATGCTGAACTGGTGCGAACCGGTTGAATCCCATCACTGCTCCGGCCTCCAGAAGCACTTTGGAGGCCAAAACAAGGCCCATTTTTGGCCTCCCGAACCCTCCGCGCATCCCATTTTCACGCGCCCATTTTTGGCCTGTAGAGTGCTTCTGGGGGCCGGGGGGGGCTGAAAACGTGACATGCAGGGAGTTCGGGAGCCCCAAAACAGGCCTGTATTTGGTCTATAAGATGCCCCGAAATTTTCACCCACTTTTAGAGGGGGGGAGTGCGTCTTATACTCTGAAAAATACATTAATTCATGCTTCTTGAGAATTGCACTATGCCCGTAAACCTGACTCTGAAAGGAAACAGATCCTGCTCTACGCCTGGTTGTTTTTACAAATGGGTTTACAAAGCCGAGAGGTAAGTATAGTAAGAGGGATTTCGATGGCCTGGCACAGTGGCGGAATCCTTGCAGGAGTACTGTTTTAAAGCGGGGTACCCCGTGAGTTGTTTGCTAGAACGCACGGACCTGCCTCATTCCGGTAAATGACAGGTGTCCCTCGACTTAACGACCGCAACTGAGCCCCAAATCTCTCGTTGCTAAGTCAGACGATTGTTGAGTGGGGTTTTTACTCCCCATCGAAGGTCGCAAAAGGGGATCACGGGACCAGTGGTGAAATCTAAACCGGTTTACCACCAGTTTTTAAAAGCATTTTAAAACTTTTTAAAAGCATTTTTACTACCTATTCGCCCAAACCGGTAGTAAAAAAATACCCAAAAGGTTTAAAAAAAAAAAAAAAGTTCTGACGATCAGCTGAGTGACACACAATCGTCGGAACTTTTTTTAAAACATTTTTTACTACCGGTTCGGGCAAACCGGACTGAACCGGTAGCATTTCCCCTCTACATGGGACTCCGGGACACTGCAATTATCATAAACAGGAGTTCGTTGCCAAGGGTCAATGCTGCAACAGTCCTACGTGTAAAAAACGATCATGTGACTTTTTTCAGTGACGTTGTAACTTTGAATGGTCACTCTTGTAAGTTGAGGACTGCCTTACGCTCGCATTCGTTTTAATAAAATAAGATTTGAGGGCTATTTCTCTCTCTTTCTCTCTCTCTCTTTTTTTTTTTGAGGGAGTTTTACCCTAATTTCCTACCCCAAATTCCACCACTGGCCTTGTCCGGCCAAACCAAGAATGCAAGTTAAGTGTGAGACTGCAAAGGGCCTCTTACTATACTTTAACCAGCTTTGATACTCCATAATGATGGCTGGTATTATCGTTTTTTCATTTTCTCTTGTTTTTGTTTTTTTTTAAAAAAGATAACCCTTCAGTGGGCAGAAACCTGGAACGACAAGTGAAAAAACCACAACGGTTTCCGAAATCTTAGCAGGGAAATTGGCAAATGCTTTCAAGTAAGAGTGTTACCTGAGCCGGGGGATTCTGGGAAATCAAAATCTGATCAGTTATTAGGGGACATTTTAGTCTGGCTCGGTGCAAAAATCACGCTTATGGCCACAGGCACTGGTATAATGCCCCAATGACAAAAAAATATGTCATCATACAAGCTCCACCTTCTCAACCTGGCATTGTGGAGTTACAGGTAGTCCTCGACTTACGACCACAATTGAGCCCAACATTTACTTTGGACGGTCACTAAACAAACTGTTGTAAGTCGAGGACTAGCTGTATCGGGGAAATTTAATGCAAGTTGTTTTTTCTTCTTCGCCCTCCGTTATGGAGGACAAAGATGGCAGAGAAGGGTGTTTTAGGGATGGGGCAAACAAAGTCCATATTCCACCTCCCTCTCGAGCGTGGAACTGGGGTTTCTACCGTTAACGCACACTCTCACGAAACATCTTGAGGTGGATATTGCAGAAGTGTGGGGGCGAGAAGAGCGGAGAGAGAGAGGTCACTACGTCGATTATCTGGTCGTTAAAAAATATTCCTAAAGGCAGGAAAAAGGCAGGAGGGGGCCCACGAAAAACGCTCGTTTCGGAGCGTCCACTATAGTTAACGGGGAGGCCGCTTCGGTGCGCTTGAAAACGGACGCACCAGAGATCATCTTTGCTCAGGATTTCGACTTCTCCTGCTAGATTGGACTTGTAAGATGGTTGCGAAGGAGTTCGCCGTTCGACTTGACGCGTAGGCAGACGGCCCCCTCGGGGAAGGGAAGGACACACTTGTGAGCCAGCGTTAAAAAAGCCGATGATGGACAAGTCGGCGTTTCCTTCCCTCGAGGGAGCTTGCTCTCCGAAGAAACCAACTTTGAGTCTGGCGGCTTTCTGGTCCTCTTCGTAGGATCTCCGCGTAGGAATAATTCCTAGTCCCTCTCCAGCAGACTTCTGTCAGGCCCGGACCTCTGCCCTCAGGATTGCGCTGAGTGTCTCTTTCCTTGCCCCCCCAGCTCAGCCCCCAAGGCCTGCCCAAGAAGGGACTGGTGTTGACCCTGTGTTGACCCTGGTTTCACATGTGAGATGGCAGCTTCGGTTTCCCAGTGTTGACGTCAGGACTGAATGCTACGGAACCCTTACGGGATGAGGCGGTGCTGTGTCGCGGGACAGAGACAGGTGACTGGGGGGTCGTGGCCCCGCTCACTGACCGGCTGGACCCTGAAGGGGCCTGCTGGGAGGAAACAGGCTGTCCGGTGGTTCCCGTGCTTGGTTTCCCTAGCAGACCGGGAACCGACGGGGAGGAACGGTACGTGACGTTCCTGGCTGATTTCCCCGCCTGCTGGGAAGACCCCATGTCCGAAGGTTGGGTGAGCCGGTTTGGCAAGGAAGGCTGAGACGCCGAAAGCGGCCGGACGTCCTGCGTAAGACGTCCCACCGAAAGGCCCTGCGAGCTCCGATGTTTGACCATCTGCTGAGGCTGCAGGAACAGGGAAATATGGGACCCTGTGGCCCGAGAGAGACTGTAGTGCAGAGTTCGTCCTGGCGGGACGGATGCGCTGTGTGCTGCCTGCTGCAAGAGGGATGTGGATACCGACGTACCCCGAGTTTCGGATAGCTGAGCCTGGCTCATCCCAGGGATGGGGTCCCTCTTCTGAACGGGCCGCGAAAGGGTTTGTCCTTTGCCCATCGTACTTTCCAAGGGGAATGTGCACTGAACCATGGGAGAACACGGCGAGCCAGCGGCAGGTGTCTGCAGGTGGGACTGGGCCCCTGAGGCAGGCGAGCTGACGGAGGATGGCCGGGAACCCCCCAGGCTGGGTTGGGAGCGACGGGGATGGCGCAGGAGAGCAGCCGAGTCGGGGGAGAGAGGGCTGGAGATGGACGAAGGGGGAAGGAAGATATGCGTCGCCAGACTTTGCTGGTGGGTCAGTGCGATGGCCACGCTGGTGGTGGCGGCGGCAGTCTGCAGCGGCGCGTGGACGAGGGGCTCCCAGATGAGTGGTTTGCCACTCAGTTCCCGACCGGCAGACATGGGCTGGAGGTCCTGGATGTTGTGTGCCATGTCTTGGTCGTGTTTGACGATCTGTTGGATGATCTCATTGTTGACCGTGCTAGAACTGTGCTCCGCTCTCTTCCGCAACAGGATGGAGTTCTTCTTCCCTGCAGGTGGAAGTAAAACAAGGTCAGAGACCACACAGAAGTGCAGACAAAAATTAGGGAGTTGCTTGATATGGAGGTGAATCACATTGGCAGGAGGAGGAGGAAGAGGAAGAGGAGGGGGAGGGGGAGGAGTGTCAACTCGCAAAGCATCCCTGGCCTGCTCTCGAGTTGCCATAGGCCAGGGGGGATGGGAAACGGGCAAAACGGCATGGTAGCCAAAGACAGATGCACATTCCATGCTTATCTCTCTCAAGGCTGTATCCCAGGGTTACCCACAGCAGCCGGAGGGAGTGACCTCTACAACCTGCAAAATTGCTCCGTTGCCGAATGTAATGGATGACACACATCCTGGGGGGAGGGGCAAAACAGGGTCATAATTGGGGCGTAAGTTACGTAGGGTCAGAGCTGGCTTCACTTTGGAACGTGCCAACATGAAGCTCCTAATAAATAACTGGATTTCTTTTGAAGCTTGGGTTGAGGCTCATGATTTAATTATGGCATCCGTTGGAACCCTGACGAGGAGGAGATAGAGAACAAGGAGGAGACGAAGAAGGAGATGGGGATAGTAAACAAGGAGGAGAAGAAGGAGGAAAAGGAGGTGAGGATGGAGGAGAAGGTGGAGGAGAAGAAGGAGATGGAGATAGAGAACAAGGAGCAGAAGAAGGAAATGAGGATGGAGAAAGAGGAGAAGGGGAGAAGAAGGAGAAAGGGATGGAGAAGGAGGAGGAGAAAAAGGAGAAGAAAATTTCTAAGACATCTCAACAGTTGAGATCAGCTCCCTCACCTATCCGGTCCAACCTATCCATGGCCACGGTTTCAAACGCTCGCCGCATCATTGGGTATTCCTCCAGGACTTCGTTGAAGTTGTCCACGGAAAGGGAGTAGAGGCGGCAGTAGGTGTTGGCTCGGACGCTGGCCGTGCGCCGGCCCCGGGTCAGAAGGCAGATCTCTGCAGGGGCAAAAGGAGGAGGAGAGGATGACAAGTCACGGGAGCTCAATTAACTCCTAGTGATTGTCCCAATCCCCCTCTCTCTCTCTCTCTCTCCCTCCCTCCCTCCTTCCCTCCCTCCCTCCCTCTCTCTCTCTCTCTCTCTCTCTCTCTCTCTCACACACACACACTTACAAACATGTCACATTTGCAAGGACCAAACCTGTTTGCAAGCCCCCCTCAGAGAACGAATTCAAAATTTCCCTCCCCCTCAAGAAAAACTTACCACCAAAATAAGATCCGTCCGAAAGCTTCATTTCCTTAGAGCCCCGGGTCAGGATGCTAACTACACCATGTTGTATGAAATACATCTTTTTCCCGACCGTTCCCTCTCGGATGATGAAGTCTCCTGGCTGGAAAACCTCGAAGCGCAACTTGGTCAGCATCGCCGTCACAAAGTTGGGGTCGGCGTTGGCGAAGAGGGGCATGTTATCCACCAGATTCCGGCAGTTGAAATTGATGATCTCCTGAAGAGGGGAAGGAATCCGAAGGAGAAGGGAAAAAAATAATAATAATCAGGAATTGACAAGAGGAGAAAAGGCTTTCGATAGGAGCGAGTGGATGCTATAAACTCCACCAAAATACACCTCAACTTACAACAGTTTGTTTAGTGGCCATTCAAAATGACAACAGCCAACAGCAAACAAACTCCCGAAGAGGGGAGGGAATCCAAAGGAGAAGGAAAAAAAATAATAATCAGGAATTGACAAGAGGAGAAAAGGCTTTCGATAGGAGTGAGTGGACGCTATAAACTCCACCAAAATACACCTCAACTTACAACAGTTCGTTTAGTGGCCATTCAAAATGACAATGGCAATGGGAAAAAAGTGACTTTCTGCTTAACGACCGTTGCAGCATTCCCCCATGATTGGCCCAGACGGATTCATAATTACGACGGTTACAGTGTCCCGGGGACTTTTGCGACAATGTCAACGGGGAAGCCAGATTCAATTAACAACCGTGTTCCTAACCTAACAACTTGCAGGGCTTCACTTAACAACCAGGGCCAGAGAGGTCTTCCAACGGGGCAAAACTCGCTGAACAACGGTCTCGCTTAGCGAACAGAAATGTTGGGCTCAATTGCGGCCATAAGTCGAGGGCTTCCGTTAGCCTTAATTCTAACGTTATTGGAGTGGTTTGTAAGAAGCGTTAATTGCCTCTCCTTTGTGGCTTTTACCTCTTTAAGGGGTTCGCTCAATTCTTCCAAGATATTCTCTTCGTCAAACATTTTGCCCTGGTATCGGTGTTCGTAATATTCGTGGATCCGTTGACGTGTATCGCCCGGTAATTTATGGAAGGACATGTATTGTTCCACTTGCTTATACTAAAAAACGGAGGAACAGAAATCAGCCGGGAAAAATGAAGAAATAATTAAGAAGATACCAGAGTGGGCAGAAACAGACAGATTGACATTAAAAATGAAACAGAAAGAAGGATATAGAAAATTATCAAACACAGAATCTATTTTATCAGTGGTTGGGGAAAAAAGGGGTGGCGATTAAGAATGTAATATATATTGTTAAGCAAATGTAATTAATAAAAAATTAATAATAAAAAAAGAAATATTTTAAATTCAGCCAAGAGAAATATCTCCCCAAAGTAGATCTATCTCTCTACTTATCTACTGTGTTTCCCCCAAAATAAGACCGGGTCTTATATTAATTTTTGCTTTGAAAGACGCATTAGGGCTTATTTTCTGGTTAGGTCTTATTTTGGGGGGAAATACAGTACTAAACGCCTCCGTCTGCTGAGGATCTTAACTGGGGCTTATTTTTGGGGTACGGCTTATATTACGAGCATCCCAAAAAATTATGGTAGGTCTTATTTTCCAGTTGGGTCTTATTTTCGGGGAAACATTCTGGTCTAGTTTTGTTTTGTCTCCGTTCATTTTTTTTTCCTTTTGGATTTTAATCTTCTGAATAAAATAAAAACCGAAGCAAAAGTTTGGGAAATTTTTTTCTCCATCTCGCCGGAGAGAAGCAGAGGCAGAGACAAGCCCTAGGATATGGCAACAACGCGGTGTAAATATTCTCACCTTCTCCTGGTATTGGCGCCGAGAGGAGTCCAGCGACTGGATAAGGGCGGTGGCGTGGCCGATGAACATGGCATAGCAGGTGGCGCCCACAATCATGCTCAACATCGTCAGCCACACGTCAGTCATGCCCTCGGGTGCCTGCTGCCCATAGCCGATGCACAACATGTGACTCATTGCTTTGAACAAAGCGTGCGAATATTGCTTTCCCCAAGAGTCATTCTGAAGGACAGAGAGGGAAAAAGAGTGGAACTCACCGGTGAGGTTTTTTTTTTAAAGATCTTCAGTGTTGTCCCACAAAACCTGCTTGATGTCTTGGTGCCTTTCAAACTTGACAACTTTTAAGAGGTGTGGACTTCCAATTTCCAGAATCCCCCAACCCTCTGTTGGAGGGGAATTCTGGGAATTGAAGTCCACAGCTCTTAAATTATGCTGACTTGGGAAGTTCTGGGAGTTGAAGTCCAAGTTTGAAAAACACGGAAACTCTTGAATCCACATTCTTCGGGTAGAAATTGTCAGCCCTTCCTTCCTTCCTTTCTTCCTTCCTTCCTTCCTTCCTTCCTTCCTTCCTTCCTTCCTTCCTTCCTTCCTCCCTCCCTCCCTCCCTCCCTCCCTCCCTCTCTCTTCCTTTCTCTCTCTCTCCCTCTCTCTCCCTCCCTCTTTTTCCCTCCCTCCTTCCCCTCCTCTCTCTATACCAGTGATCGTGAATTTTATTTCCTCAGGTGCCAAAAATGTGTGTGCGTGCATGACAACACACACACGCATGCCAACACCCATAATGCAATGCCCCCCTGCAGCCCCCTCCCCACGCTCTCCACACCTCCTGCGCATGTGCGCGCAACCCACATTTTGGTGCTAGCAGGCCTCCCTGAAGCCGCCTGGAACCAAAAGCAGGATGCGGGGGGTGCTTCACCCCCCCCCCCCTATTGTCCTTAACCCCCCCATGCCCGCACACATGACCCCCCCCCCCCCCTCATATGCACGCATGTCTCCTGGCAGAGACCCGAAAATCAGCTGACCGATGGGAGGCACGCGGGCATGTGCAGTGGAGCTGATCTGGGAGTCGGCTCGCGTGCCTGCAGAGATGGCTCCACGTGCCACTTGTGGCATGCATGCCATAGATTCGCCATCACGGATGTATACGATAGAGGATCAAGGTCAGAAAAACTTGAGTTTCTTCCTCACCCGCTCCGTCTTTCGGCGTGAAGCTGTTTTTTCCATAACCGCTATCTCTCTGATCTGCTTTGCAGAGTTATCCGGACTCTCTCCTGCTCATCCCGGCCCGTTTTTGTCCAACAGATATAGGAGGAGAAAAAACTTACCACCATGTGGTTGATGGAAACCCAACAATCTTCGGGGAAGTCTTGCAGCATGGGAACCAAGAATTGTAAGCAGCCATCCCAGTGACACAGGAGAAGCATCATTCCGATGAGATTGAAGATCCGGACTACAGCACTGGCCAGGTCATAGGTCATGTGGAAAATCTGGGAAGGCAAAGAGGAGGCGGTAAGGTGATCAAACCCGGGATTCTTTCCGTAGACCAGTGTTTCTCAACCTTGGCTGCTGGACGATGTGTGGACTTCAACTCCCAGAATTCTGGAAGTTGAAGTCCACACATCGTCCAGCGGCCAAGGTTGAGAAACACTGCCGTAGACGGACTCCAGATAAGCCTCTGATACGAAACCTTCGTTCAGCGTCCGTTTGAAGTTATTATGGTGTTGAACGAGTGGGCTTCAAAAAACAGTTCCCAAAGTTACGGCTATTGTTGGGCCTAGGACTAACGATTTCCTGCATGCTTCCCCAATGACTTTGAAGCCAGTCAAGAGAATCACCCAGGATCCTTGCTTAATGGTGGCAATAGATTGACACCACTAAGCGATGGAGGTTTACAGTGGCTTTATGGCTATCATGGTGTGAATTGCCAAGTGATCTGACCTTGGCTTCCTGAGTCATTAAAACACACAAGTTGTCCCCAAAACCTCTTTTATTTCAACAGCACCGTACCTCCCAGATGGCCCTTTCTCTGCCTCTGATGCAGAGCCCTTGTCCAAGCCTTCCCCAGACTCCAGGACTGACCCATGGTCCTTCCCAGCCTCCTCACTGTCTGACCCTCCTGCCAGCTCCGCAGGCTGCCGGCGGACCACAACACCAAGGACGAATGATTTCCTGCTGGCTTCCCCAATGACTTTGAAGCTAGTCAAGAGAAACCCAGGATCCTTGCTTAATGATGTCAATAGGTTTTCCATCCCTAAGCGATGGAGTCTTATGAGATTTACAACTGCCTTATGACTTGCATTGCTTACTTAGTGACGGAAATTCAGTTGTCGGCCAACGACTACCGATAAAAATAACAGATCACTGTACCAACAGTGTGTTTCCTATTAAAAAAAAAAAAAGGAACGCTACCTTTTAATGTGAGTATCTAATATTTTTATTTATTGGGTATTACCTCTTCCCATTGGTGAATGTAACGGATGAGGCGCGAGAGACGGAGAAGACGAAGCAAGCTAAGGATTTTTGTGAAACGGACGATACGCAGGGCTCGGGCTGTTTTATACACTTCGGAATCCACTTGGGTCTCCAGATCTACGATGAGGAAGATGTAATCGACCGGGATGGAAGAAATGAAATCCACCAGAAACCAGCTCCTGAGATACTTCATCTTAATGGTATGGGGATCCAAAATGATCTCGGTGTTGTCTTCCACCACGATCCCCGTGCGGAAATTCAACACCAAGTCGGCCAGGAAAAAGGTGTCCGAGAGGACGTTGAAGACGATCCAAGGAGGCGTGTTCTCGTCCTTGAAAAAAGTGATCCCCACCGGCAGGATGATCAAGTTGCCAACCATCAACAGCAACATAATCAAGTCCCAGTAAAACCTGGAAGGGAAGAAATGGGCAGGATCAGTCAGACGCACCGGAACGAGAACCTCAAACTGGGTTTGCTATTAGCCATGATGATGATGATGATGATGATGGAAGCCCCCAAACAGAGTTTCAGAAAAAAAGCCTCCAAACAGAGCTTCAGAAAAAAAGCCTCCAAACAGAGTTTCAGAAAAGAAGCCCCCAAACAGAGCTTCTGAAAAAAAACTCCGAACAGAGGTTCAGAAAAAAAGCCTCCAAACAGATTTCAGAAAAAAAGCCTCCAAGCAGAGCTTCTGAAAAAAAGCCTCCAAACAGAGCTTCAGAAAAGAAGCCCCCAAACAGAGCTTCTGAAAAAAAAAACTCCGAACAGAGCTTCAGAAAAAAAGACTCCAAACAGAGCTTCAGAAAAGAAGCCCCCAAACAGAGCTTCTGAAAAAAAAAACTCCGAACAGAGCTTCAGAAAAAAAGACTCCAAACAGAGCTTCAGAAAAGAAGCTAAAATTCATCTCTGGGAACAACTGATTGGGGGTATTCCGGGAGGCCGATCCACCTGCCAATCAGCTTTTTTCTTATTTTCCTCCCCAAAAACTGAGGTGCGTCTTATACTCCGGTGCGTTTTACACTCTGAAAAATACGGTATCCACCTTAACACGGACAGATGCTGGATTCCTCAGCTCTGTTCGAAACCTTCCCCAAAGAACTCCATTCCAAATCTCCAACTTTTCTCTTTCTTTTGTCTTTTTTAATCAACTCTACTCTCTCTTGAGCGAGATAAGAAGCCGGGAGAAAGAATAAATCTGCTCCCCGACCCCCTTTGCTCACTGAACAAAAATGAATGCGAAAGCGACCAAAACGAAGATCCTAAAACAAAAAGAGAAAATAAAACGGGGATCGACCATCATTAAATCTCAAACACCAGTTAAAAGGCCTCTCCTGATTTGTTCTCGCAGGCATCCATCAACAGCTCAACAGCTTACTGGCACGGGCCCGTCTGAGCGTTGATTATCCAATACAGATCATGATGTAATTCACTGGTTTAATGATACACCTCGAATCCTAAAGTCCGAAAAACCCCTATCTGATTCCCGCCAAGCCATCTGTCTCCTGATCAACGTACAAGCCGGGAAAGATACGGAGAGATTAGAGCAAAGGATTCTGGGAGCCAAGCCAACTATTTTAGCTTCTTTATAGGACCGCGAAATCCTTCTCGCATCCAATCTATGTTTTTTTTCTCTTGCTTCATCTGAATGAGAACTTTCTGGTCCATTTCCCCTCGCTTGGTAAAAGCCATCCCAAGCTGGCTTTGCCTCTTCAGTTTTGCAAACAGCCCTGATTTTAAAATGCCGTGGTCATTTACCACGCTTGGAATTATGCATCCAGTTTTGGTCGCCACCATATTAAAAACAAAAGATGTTGAGACTTTGGAAAGAGTGCAGAGAAGAGCAACAAAGATGATTAGGGGGCTGGAGGCTATAACATATGAAGTTGCAGGAATTGGATATGTCTAGTTTAGTGAAAGGGACACGGTGGCTCAGTGGCTAAGATACCGGCCTGGACCTCACTTACTCGCAGCTGCTGACCTTAGCTCAGAGGCTAAGATGCTGAGCTTGTCGATCGAAAGGTCGGCAGTTCAGCAGTTCGAATCCCTAGTGCTGCATAATGGGGTGAGGTTCCGTGACTTGTCCCAGCTTCTGCCAACCTAGCAGTTCGAAAGCAGGTAAAAAATGCAAGTAGAAAAATAGGGACCACCTTTGGTGGGAAGGGAACAGCGTTCCATGTGCCTTTGGCGTTGAGTCATGCCAGACACATGACCACGGAGACGTCTTCAGACAGCGCTGGCTCTTCAGCTTTGAAACGGGGATGAGCACCACCCCCTAGAGTCAGGAACGACTAGCATATATGTGCGAGGGGAACCTTTACCTAGTTTAATGAAAAGAAGGATTAGGGGTGACATGATTGCATCTTCCAATATTTGAGGGGCTGCCACAAGGAAGAGGGGGTCGATTTATTCTCCAAAGCCCCTGAAGGCAGGACAAGAAGCAACAGATGGAAACTAATCAAGGAGAGAAGCAACCTCGAATTAAGGAGAAATTTCCTGACAGTTTGTCGTAAATCGAGAACTACCTGTACAGGAAGAACAGGAAAGAGCAAGCTAACCCCTCTAACGCTGGTGATGATGACACCATCCATATCCTACCTGCTCAACTAGACTCTGCCCCAAGGACAATCCACACAACCCAAGTAAACCATTTCCCCCAGACCCACACCAGCTGAAAGGAAGAGGACGACAGGAAGGAGAAAGAGGGCTGGATAACCATTCCCAGTCCAGCGGCTCCTCCATCTTTCCCGAAGCGTGACCTATTGGAATTGTAGTGCGCCCAGTAAGGAGGTTGCACAAAGAGCAACCCCCCCACTTTATAATGCCTTAGTAAGACCACACCTAGAATACTGCATCCAGTTTTGGTCGCCACGATGTAAAAGAAAGATGTGGAGACTCTGGAAAGAGTGCAGAGAAGAGTCAACCAAGATGATTAGGGGACTGGAGGCTAAAACATATGAAGAACAGTTGCAGGAAGTGGGCATGTCTAGTTTAATGAACAGAAGGACTAAGGGAGACATGATAGCAGTCTTCCAATATCTCAGGGGCTGCCCCAAAGAAGAGGGACTCCAGCTATTCTCCAAAGCCCCTGAGAGCAGGACAAGAAGCAATGGGTGGAAACTCATCAAGGAGAGAAGCAACTTAGAACTAACTCCTGACAGTTAGAACAATGAATCAGTGGAACAACTTGCCTCCAGAAGTTGGGAATGCTCCATCACTAGAGGTTTTTAAAAAGAGACTGGACAACCACTTGTGTGAAATGGTAGAGAGTTTCTTGCCTGAGCAGGGAGTTGGTCTAGGAGAACTCCAAAGTGGTGGTGGAGGAGCCTTGGTGGTGCAGCGGACTAAACTACTGTTAAAGTAGTATTTAGCTGCCAGCTGCCTGCAATTACTGCAAGTTCGAATCTCACCAGGCTCAAGGTTGACTCAGCCTTCCATCCTTCCAAGGTAGGTAAAATGAGGACCCGGATTGTGGGGGCAATAAACTGATTTTGTATATAAAAAAGAACACCCCTTAGGGCCCCCCGAAAGCCCTACTAAGCAGGTATATACAAAAGTATGAAGGTTATTGCTTAACGCATTGTAAGCTGCCCTGAGTCTCTGGAGAAAGGACGGCATATAAATCAAACGAATAAATAAACCTGAGATTTTTAAGAACAGCCTGGACAAGCATATTTCTCTGAAATCGTATAGGGGATCTCCTGCCTGAGCAGGGAGGTTAGACTCGAAGACCTCCAAGCTCCCTTCCAACTCGAGATTTGAAAGATTTGAAAGGCGCCCGGATAGCTCGGCAGACGAATGCATTGTAATTTAACCCCAGCTGCCTGCAATTACTGCAAGTTCGAATCTCGCCAAGGCTCAAGGTTGACTCAGCCTTCCATCCTTTCTAAGGTAGGTAAATCGAGGACCCGGTTTGTGCGGGGCAATAAGCTGAACTTTGTTCTGCTTAACGCATTGTTAAGCCGCCCCGAGTCTCCAGAGAAGGGCGGCATATAAATCAAATAAAAAAGAAAGAAAGAAAGAAAGAAAGAAAGAAAGAAAGAAAGAAAGAAAGAAAGAAGAGATTGGACACCCATTTGTCTGAAACGGCACAGGATCTCCTGCCTGAGTAGAGGGTCGGACTAGAGGACCTCCAAGGCCCCTTCCGACTCTTGTTAATTCAATGCAATTCTAGTCGAACAGAACTTTCAGCACCACGGATAGCGCCGCCGTCGCCGGCGGCGCTATCCGTGGTGCTGAAAGTTCTGTTCGACTAGACAGTCGTTCTTTTAGCCCAGTCAAAGTCGGGAGCCCGGGGAGTCCTCTCCTGTGGGGGGGAGTGGCGCATGGGCCTCGGAGTCCTTCCCCTCACCCCCCCCCACCACCCTACCTGAAATCGCGGTAGGGATGGATGATCCAAAACCCGGCCGATTTGACCCGCTGCTGCTCCATCTCCACCGCCTTGTGGCTGCCAAACATGCGGAGGGAGAATTTGTTGACCGCCGGTTGGAGGAGGGCGCCCAGTTGCCGCTGGACGAAGGACCCTCCGGGATCTTCGGAGCCCGAAGCCGCTGCGGCGGCGGCGGCGGAGGCCAAGTCTGCGGCCACGATCTGCTCGGCCACGCGGGCCGTCGCCATCTCGCCCTTGGCCGCGGCCGTGGAGCCTTTGCGAGTGGGCGGCTGCGAGGAGCCGTCGCTGGGCGGGCGACCCCCGGCTTCGCCATCCAGCAGAGGAGGAGGAGGAGGAGGAGGAAGGGGCGCCTTGCGGCCGGGGGTCTCCGGACCCTGGGAAGAGCGTAGGGCCGCCGGAGCCTCCGGGGTCTCGGCGGCGGAGGAAGAGGCGTCCATGGCGCTCAAGAGGGCCCTTCAAACGCCCTTGCTCCCTGGCATCGCGGGGGCATCCCACCCGTCGCCACGCGTGGATGCCCGGGGGAAGCCAGGAAGGGCGCGGCGGCGGCGGCTCAAGGGCCAGGGGCTCATACCCCCCCCCCCGGACGAGCCCACCCACCCCCCCACCTCCCTTGGCTCAGCCCCTCCGACGAGAGCCAGGCAAGACCAGCCCTGCCCGAGCTTGTCTTGCCCACGCACACGCGCGACGGGCAGGCAGGTAGGCAGGCGCCGCCTAGTGGGTCAGCCGCCCTCCCTCCCCACTTCCCCCGGCCTTTGGGACCCGAGCGGGGAGGGACAGGAGCGGGACGGAGCCTGGAGGGGAGGCGGAGTGAAGCGATGACGGAGGAGAGCTCTCGCTCGCTCTCGCTCTCTCTCCCCCCCCCCCCGCCCCCGGTGGGGGCGTCTCTTGGGTTGAGTCTGGCTCTGGAGTCGGCTTCGAGGGCGCCCTGGCGGGAAGCTTCCCTTCCTTCCTTCCTTCCTTCCTTCCTTCCTTCCTTCCTTCCTTCCTTCCTTCCTTCCTTCCTTCCTTCCTTCCTTCCTTCCCCTCTCAAGCCCAGGCCGTTGGTCTTTCTGCTTTCACACTCCTGTCTTCCTGGCTTTTGGCCATCCGTTCCTCCCTCTGCACTTCCTCGCTTGTGTCCCTTCCATTTCCTTCCTTCCTTCCCTTTCCCTCCACTTCCTCACTCATGCCTCTTCCCTTCCTTTTCTTTCCTTCCTTCCTTCCCTCACTCATGTCCCTTCCTTTTCTTTCCTTCCTTCCTTCCCTTCCCTTCCTCATTCACGTTGCTTCTCTTCCCTCCTTTCCTTCCCTTCCTCACTCATCCCTTCCCTCCCTTCCCTTTCCCTTCACTTCCTCATTCATGTCCCTTCCCTTCCTTCCCTCCACTTCCTCATTCATGTCCCTTCCCTTCCTTCAATCCAGTTCCTCACTCATCCCTTCCCTTTCCCTTCACATCCTCATTCATGTCCCTTCTCTTCCTTCCCTCCAGTTCCTCATTCATGTCCCTTCCCTTCCTTTTCCTTCCTTTCCTTTCTTTCACTTCCTCATTCATGTCCCTTCCCTTCCTTTTCCCTCGTTCCAATCACACTTGGCGAATAGAATGGAATGGAATGGAATGGAATGGAATGGAATGGAACAGAATAGAATAGAATAGAATAGAATAGAATAGAATAGAATAGAATAGA